TTGAGGGTCCATTGTTGAAGGTCAATTGATCTCATAAAAATTTACTTAAGATAGCCTTCAGAGAAAACCTATTTGTACAAAGAAAAATCCTGCATTTAGTACATGGCCTGAAAAGGCACAAAATATAGATTTCCACCATTGATTCTGGTGGCTCTCCAGACAGTAAATCTTTTGGCAGGATCTGTAGTAGTTAACTAAGAAATCCAAGTTGGGAAATAACAAACTCCAACTTTGTTTTACTTTATCAATATTGCAAAGAGAATGATGTCATTGTTTGGGGGTTTTGCAAAGACATTCCATGTCACTTCAGTTTTAATACCAGGCTGGAGCCTGCATGGTCTGCCAGCACCAGCCAGATAAACAAAGACCTGTAGTCTTTCTATTCATCTCCAGATAGTTGTTCCGAAAGATTCTGGAAAATATGCCTATTATGAACTAAACATTTCACTTTTCATTTTATCCATGTGCCAGAAGTCCATTCCTTGGATAAACACTTTACAAACTGACACTCTAAAAGTCACTAAACATGATAAAGTATGTGTGCATCGGTTCAGGACTGATTAAATATTTTTCTCTTCCATGATAAATGAACAGTTACATTCTATATGAAACCATTGGAACCAACAGTCCTCTTTTCCTTTCTTTTTTGTTTTTCTCTCTCTCCTGCCTTCTCTTTCTCTCTCCTTCCTTCCTTCCTTCCTTCCTTCCTTCCTTCCTTCCTTCCTTCCTTCCTTCCTTCCTCCATGCTCTTATTTTGCATGAAAGATTAATTTTCCATTTCAATTCATTTGTTATACAATCTTGGCTTTGGTGAAATATCACTCAAGTAACAGTACATGTAGAAATAGTATTGATTTTTTAAAATGTGTGATTTAAAGTTCTTTAACAAATGTGCCTCCATTACTATTTCTTGCCTTTGATTGCTGGTTATTTTCAATTGCCTTTGCCAATACCGAAGTAAAATGGAAGAAAAAGAAAACCTAAAGTACTCTCTTTTTTTCAAGTTAAAAGACTTTCAAGTAATTAATATGTTTGTAAGTATTCAGTCAAATGTTCAACACATAATAATGCTAAAATAAAGAACATTCTTACTTCTATAACATTGTGTAAATTGCTTCTCTATTCAACAAGTTCACTATGTTCTTATGGCATGAACACAAGATTAAAAGAGCATGGGGATACAGCCAGTGGTAAGGCATATTTCTAGCATGCAAGGGCTCAGAGTTCAATCCCTCACGTCATTTGCACATGGAAGGAAGGAAAGAAGGAAGGAGGGAATTAGAGAAGGAAGAGAGGAAGGGGAAGTGGAGAGGCGAGTGAGGAGGGGGAAAGGGATAGGGAATGGGAGAAAGGGAAGGGAAGGGAAGGGAAGGGAAGGGAAGGGAAGGGAAGGGAAGGGAAGGGAAGGGAAGGGAAAGAAGGGAGATCCTTAGGGCTAATTCTTTAGGATCCTGGAGAAGGGAAAGACTTCTAAAACATTTTAAAAACAGTTTGATATAAAAACTTCAGAAAAAATATATCCTATTACATGGCACACATATCCTATTATATATGTCATATATATATATATATATATATTATATGCTATGGAAAACATAAGTATCTTCAAAACAAATGTTTTAATCACCAGGAAAACTGACATAATTCCTAGAGAAAGGCCTCTTAACATGGCTTTAGTGGAACCTAGCTTCCTTATTCTCTAAATTTATATAAAGAAATGATCATTTATTAGTCACATCCCAAATTTACATTTTCTCTGCCTGTGAAGTGACATGGATACTAAGTAATTCTGTGGGAAAATAAAAATAATCACATTTTGTCTGATGATACTTTTCTACAGTAGAAAAAAAGCCATGTATGCTAATTAAAAATAAAATAAAGGCAGGAGCTATAACACATACACAGTGGGAATATAGCCAACTTTAACAGCATTCTGCTGAAATCCATCTTGTAATACAATATGATAGCTTGGCTTGCCTAATGAAATCATCTGAAGATAAGAATATATTCATCTGATTTTTATTTGAGTTTTGGATGTAGTTCAAGCCACTTTCCCTAGATGCCTTGAAAAAATTGAAAAATTCAGAGAATTTATTAGAAAAACTGTATATTCTTGTGAAATAGGGAGCTCCAACTTCCATTTTTTGATTCATAGGAAAATGTAGGAATCAACAGAATTAGCACATAAAATTATGATGCTAACAAGTAAAATATGAAAAAAGATCTTATTTGCATTACAAGTTGTACTAAGCCATGGTTTCTTGGGAATATTTTTAGTTATGAAGTCATAAAATGATCCGAAGAACACGTAACATTCCACCCTAGATTTTTTCTTAAACTTCTAGGCTACTGAGACAAATGAGTATAATTCCTTTCAAAGCCAGTTGACAATGTGCATGTGTACAGTTTACAGAATATTTTCACAAGAATTTCTAGTAAGGCGTCTCATCACCCACCCTGGAAGATCTTAGCCGATTGGAAAAAATAAGGAATTCCATTCCTACAGTCCAAGAGGAGAGAAAGACAGACGAGGTCCCACTCCTTTTACAAATAAAGGTAAGTGCCAACTACTTTATGTAGTTTATCTACTTGTATTTCTGGAGTAGCAGATCTGTACTAAGAACACATCATGCATTGATCCACTATACTACTGCGCCGTCTCAGGAAGGTTGGTAAGTGTATGACGTCCTGAGTTACCTCCAGACTTTTGGAAAACTTTTTTGGGGAAACTTCTGTTTTGGTACAGAGAAGCTGTGCAGTCACTATACGATCTTCCTTTGATCCTTAAAGCATTTGATAGCCTAATTTAACAATCACAGTGACCTGAAAATGACACTGAATCATTTCTAAGAATGAAAGTAAATACAAATTTGTCACCAGTCTGCCACTAGGTCTCTTGCCACAGAGCAGAGAGTAAAAGTAAACCTTTTAAGCATTACTAGCATCATACAACAAAACTTGCCCATGCATTTTTTTGTCTCAAAGTTAAAGGGCTAAACGGAAGGTTGGAAAATGAAGATCAACTTTGAGGGTAGTTAAACAAGCAAACCAAGTAGAATCAGTCTGTTTATAAACCTTCTTACCTCCAAAGTAGATTTCACCTGGCTGCTGGTAACATGATACATAGAACAGAATACAAATAATCTATCATAAAAATAAAAGGAGGGATAGAAAACTGGGAAAGTACAAGCCTGAATAAATTTATATTTCTGGCTCTCCTCTCCCTTGGTGTTTTGCAGAGGCAACTGAAACATGCAGAGGTCAATTAGAGGGAATGTCTGCTGTGTGTTTTATTGCAATTTTAGTAGGGTAGTGTGTTGTGAATAAAGAGATATTTGACCATTTTAGGTACAAAGCAGAATGGCACAAAATACCAGGGGTTGCATCCTAAAGATAAGATGCTTCTATAGGTAGAGAACATATTTAGTGATTCACCATTGGTTGTAGGAAGGTATATAAAATACCTAAGGCCTTTCAGTGAGGAAGGAGACCTGAAACTCTAGAATCTGGGTCAAAAGCCTGCCATTCCGTCAATGCTTCTGCCAGCTCGTAATGATGGGGAATGAAGCAGTAACTCAGCCGACGCTATCACTCTGCTTTGCAAGGATTAGAGAAACCATATGCAGGAATGTAATATGCAATTTTATTTTTAAACCTGCTTTCCCAGGAGTTGCCCCTGGGTCCACACAGCTGATTGTTCAGCCAATGTTTGGCCAGAGAATGTGCAGAATTCTCTAGGGTCAGAGATATCTTGACATAGATGGCCCCACATTCTGGTCTGATACTCATGAGAAGGTGCAACCTTGTATGAGTAGGCACTGCCTCCGAATTTCCACTAACAGTCCTTCCTGGCTGCCTTATTCCCTGTTCTTTCTGGTACAGTTCCAACTGCCTGGCCATTTTGCTTGTTGCTGCTAAATCATGGTGCTAACAAGGCCCCTCTTTAACTGGTCTCTACCAAGGAAAAGAATCTTGCCTTATAAAGTAATGACAAAGAACTTGCTCAATAAAACTTTTCTCTAGAGAATAATCAGATTCTCTTTAGAAAGTGTGATGGCTAATTTTATGCCTCAATTTGGTTAGATTATGATGCCCATTTTTGGGTCAACACCAGTCTAGCTGTTGTGAAAGCAATTTTTAGATGTGATTAACATCTAAATAAGTAGACTTTAAGGAAAGCAGGTTCCCTTTCATATGGCTGGGCATCCTCCAGTCAGTTGAAGGCCTCAGCCTGAGGAGTTTCCCACGTAAGAAGGAATTCTGTCTCCAGACAGCTTTCAGATTCAAGATTTCAACATCAACTCCTACTGGAATTGCCAGCCTGCCTGGCTAATTTTAGACGTGCTGGCTTCTATAATCACATGAGCCAATTCCATAAAATAAATCTCTCAATTTCTCTCTCTGTCTCTCAATTTTTCTTTTTCAAGCTCTCTCTCAATGTCTGCCACTCAGCCTTTCTACCCATACATAGACACTCACACACACACACATGTTGTTTTTCTGGAGAACCATGACTAATGGAGAGAAAAAGGAGAAAAGATAATTGAGCAAAAAGGCAGGGAGGTTTCTGATAAACTTTCTTCTGCTCATCCATAATTGCAAAACTCCATTCTGGAAGTGAAAATGTATCCCAGGGAAGCTCTGCACTGGACTTTTCATTTGACAATAGACATTCAATAGTTTTCTATAATTGAGCCCACCAACCTTTATTCTTGGAACAGATTCCTTCTTGTATTTTCATAGACCAAAACTTTATTTGGATGAGAAGATGCTCTGATAATAACAACAATTTGATTCTTCATAGAATTATTCATCATTTAGAGTCATAAGAATAAAACAGTTGTTCATCTGGGATTCAATTATACCACTGTATCGATTTTTTTTGTTCTATGCTTGAAAATAAAAAGTAAACTAATTCTATGTTCCTTGAGATGAGTATACTAAGCCCGTTACCAGCTATCCGAAAAGAAATAATATATAAAACCAAAGTAATTTCTCACCATTTATGTGTTTCTGTCAGTGAATTTTCCTCTGCTTCCTGGTCAATTTTAGCTGAAAATGAAGAAAAGGATGTGAGGCAGATAAACAGTTATATGCTCTTAAACAAAATGTGGTCTAAATAATATGTTTATTTTAACTATTAATTATAGTATATACTAATCAGAAATTTATTTTAAATCTATGTCACTGTTTTATATATATATAATATAAAATGAGCATATTTAGTTTTACTTAGATTGACACTACTACACAGATTTGATACATTACATAAGCAATAAAAACATTCAGATTCTAAATCACGTCCTACCAGCAATCACAGTAACCTGAGAAAAGAAAACACTAATTTCATGTTTATATCAAATGCGTCAAGGTTTAAATGCCACAGATTACTTAAATTGATTGCAAATAATTCTCTCAAGCAAAAATACAAATACCAAATCAAAAACTAAACAAATGGTATCTAACTCTCTTCAGTTATAGTGAGATCTGTGAACTCTGCAGCCCAGCTCTTTGTATCAGAGAATACAGATAAATACATCATCATCATTCTGAAAGAGTGAGAGGGTACGAAGACCAATTTATTTACTATACTTGCACATAAATTTCAAAAGTGAAATCTGCTTAAAACTGCTTAGGAATCTATCATGTAAAGTAAATACAGCAGTGTCTTTCAGTTTATGAAGAAGCACTGTAGAATTTATCTGTTACTCCAAACACACCCTTACCTGTTTCTTCTACATTACATTGGCATGAAAGTTTCCAAAGGTACAGTTATTTCAAATAATGCTGCCTTAGCATTGTTAAATGTATTCTACTAGATTTTAAAAGGTAAATTGTGATCTGCTAAATTGATTTTATAGTTGGTGACTCAGAGTTGGGAATTACCGAGCTATAAGACAAAAGAAAAAAATCAATTAAAAATCTGGAACTAGTAAATGAAGCAGTTGTCTTTTTATTTACAGTCCTTTCCTTTTGGGTCACACTTGTGGCCATTTGCAGAAATTAGAAGACAAAGTGTAACAAGGCAAGTTGATTTAAAAAAAAATTGGTACTGTGTACCTTAAATAAAACTCACAGTCGCTTGGGAATTATTAAAGTGTCTCCTATCACTACTCACAACACAATAGTACAGCTTGGGCTGGTTAATGTTTTACAACTTCAGACAGTATTTTCTGGAAGGTCTGTACAGCATCTACAAAGTCATAACTGACTACCATGCTGCCATGCTTTGCCAGGATTGTCAGGATTTAACAAGGATCATTTGAGTTGGCAAGGGAATATTTTTCTTTCTTTCCTTTCCCTTTTTGTACTTTAGATTGCTTACATAAACTTGCAGGTCAATTGTTAGCCATATTAAAAAACAGAATACATGTACCGTGATATTGCTTTGAAAAGGCTCCAGTATGAACACACTGTCTTATAAAATCCCCTCTGGGCTGCCTACCATAAAACATGATTTGCTTCCAGAAACAATTCTCGAACCACATAAAATTTGTTTAAGGCAAAATTTTAAAAAGCTCCATAATGTATACCAGTTTTAGAAAGGACATTTTTTTTTCTTTATAAAGTACGATGATTAAAACTGAGAGAAGAAGGAAGAATTCTTCTGGACTACTTTATGATTCAAGTAAATAAGTTATAAAACTTAAAATATATGAGAATGATATGCCAGAAATCTGTATTCTATTCCTGATTCTGCCACTAAAATTAGATATGTGGTTTTAGGTAAGTCATACTAATTTATTAATATATTCAAAATATCTAGCTAATTCCTCTAATAATTAGTAGAGACTAAATGAATGTCTCTTTTGAAAAATTTTCACTTGATCTAAAATTCTTACAATGATACAATACATAATTATGTTTAACAATGGCAATTACTATCTCATGTTTCAATGGTATAGATAAAGAAACCATACACTTGCAACTTTTCAAAGCATATGCTCCGAAATAATGATAACAGGAGTTTCACTTGTTCATATGGTTACTTCTGATGTGCACCAGATCAGTTCTTGCTACACTGCATGAACAAATCTGGCCTTTTTAATATAATTCACTTGTATCCACTACGGCAGAGGCTGATTCGTACCAAAGGAATAAAACAACAAAAAAGATTCTCTTAGCAAACTTAAGAGCCATATTATCACTATAAATCCAAATTTAGAATCACAAAAAATGCTTAAAAGTTCTCTTCTATCCATTACTTTTATATGATTATGAGGGTAAGGGGATTTGTACATTGAAATTTAATTATAGTTGAATTTTAAATCTAAATCCAAATTTAGAATCACAAAAAATGCTTAAAAGTTCTCTTCTATCCATTACTTTTATATGATTATGAGGGTAAGGGGATTTGTACATTGAAATTATAATTTGCTTTAATAAACAATTGAAATAGAAAGTACATTCAAATTCACGTTTCAACTCGATATAGAGTCGACATGGCAACAAATTGAACAGATTTTCCTTTGTATGGCAATCTCAGGAAAATTTTTCTGAATAGTTGGGGTGTAAATGGTGTTTCTCTTGGAACACAGACATACAAACTTCCAACACACTGCTGGCACAAATGCGCCATCAATGTTCTGTTGCCACGCATTTAAAAATGCAATCATGATGCTAACCTATTCACAGATAGAGTGTGTGGCTGCTTTAGGTTTTGGGGCCAAACATATCACACTGAATATAATTTGATCATTGAAAATGAAGACATTGTTGGGAATAAAATAACGGCCACTTATGCAGGATACATGCGAACTAAGTGCATGCACTGACCAAATCCACATTTTTCAGTCTGAGGAACACACAGGATGTGAGCTGCCACCGTGACGCATGTAGACATCCAGTCGTGGCTTTGCGATACAGAAAATATAGCGATTTTCTATATGCACCGTATATACCAGTGTGGATCTTTTATATTTCCTGACCTATTTTTTAGAAGCATAAAAATTCTTTGCAGTTAATTCCTGATGACACAGAGGGTTTTGTGAAGAGTTTTGAAAGCCAGCGTTCTTTTCAACAACAATTTCCTACATATTTATAACATGCGATTGCTAAATGTGATTAAAATAATTATACTGGGCTTACTTTACAGTGCACATCTGTAATCCCAGCACTCTGGAAAGCTAAGGCAGGAGGACTGCAGGTTAGAGACCACCCTGGACAATTTAATCACTTAGCTAGACCCCGTCTTAAAATTTAAAAAATTAAGGGGTTGGCAGGGGGATGCCTGGGAATGTGGCCCAGTGTGAAGGCCCTGAATTCAAAATTTGTTCCCCAGAGCTGCAAAAAAAAAAAAAAAAAAAAAAACCAAAACAAAACATCATAAAAAATAAAAATTAAAAAAATACATTAAATTATGTGAAATGAGAGCTATAAAAGGGTTCAAATTTTTACATCAAATAAGATGAATTCTCTTACACATACACCATCTCCCCAGCCCCCATGTATCAGCTGAAGATCTAACCAGTCATAGAGAAGAGCACTGCAGGACAACTAACAAAGTACTTCAAACAGACCAATAGGTGGGCTCCCTGGCAGGTGGCCCTGGCATCCCCGACTGAGGTGTCTGCTTGACTTCTAATCCACATCAGAGCGTGAGGGCTTCTCAGAGATACCGTATTTCCACTCAGACAAACCTGAATTTGAATTCTGGTTAAGCCACGAGCATGTAGACTTTAATAACTGTGACCATTACTTTGGTGAAATGCCTTTTCTTGGTCATTAAAGCAGGTAATTCTTTTTCCTGGAGTTGCTTCATCATCTAATAAAATAATGGGTAGATCACCTGATGCAGAGCAATACTTTGCTTGTTCTTCCTGTCATTTCCACATCGCTATGACTACTAAAAATGATAGGAACACATTGCTTGCAAAATGTGACAGGTCTTCCATGATAGAAGCACCATAAATTCATTTAATTCTTCTATACCGAATCTAGAAGCAGAATTAAGACACACGCTCTGTTAAAATTAGTGTCTTTATCACTACAGAGAAATTATGGCCCTAAATCACTATAAAATCTGGCAATAACTATAAAATATATTTAATAGCTTTTTTCGTCTTGCTATTTAATTTGTATATTGTTGTTTTTCTTTTTGTTTTCTGTTATCAGATGGGTTATGCTATGCTGCCAGGCTGCCCCCAAACTCCTGGGCTCAAGTGATCTTCCTGCCCAGCCTTCCTAGTAACTGGGACTGCAGACTTAAGCAACTATATCCAATACTACGGTTGTTTAAACAAACCTAAAACGGACATTCCCAAGGCACATAGCACAAGCAGAGGCTAGTGGCATTGCAGAATTTTTACATTCTTAAAGACTCACAGCAGGAAGTAAAATTTCTATAAGAAGATGGTATTTTTGTCAATTTGGCGAAAACTTGCTGAAATACAAAATTATGTTTTAAAAAGTCTGCAACACTTCTGTAAATAGGCCTTTTTATCCTAAACATACTAGAGTGACCATTCGTATTTTGAAGTTTTAGATCCACTGCCAAACAAATGGACCCTAATTTGGTATACTGAAAGAGAATTAGTGGTGGGGGTGGGTTGAGGGATCAAGACAGTGACATAAAGCAATCAATCCTTCACTTAACCGTGGAGGGGAAGAACAGGGTGATATAGTATAAGAAAAAAGGCAAAGTAAAAAGTGGTTTATACAGATAATCTCCAGGGAATACAAAAGTTTTATTTAGTAGATCTTAAACTATAGAGAAAAATGTACTCTAGAGACTTTGATCAGCCAGTGGCTACTTCTCAGAGGCAAACTGGGTGTCTTAGTTACATTTTCATTGCTGAGACAAAATATAGAACATTCAAAATTAAAGGAAGAAAGGTTTATTTTTGGCTCACAGTTTGTAGAGGTTTCAGGCTACAGTCAGCTGGCTCTAAAGCAGGTGGTGTGGCAGAGGGTCACAAAGAGGAGAAACAATTCATGGTGTAGCTGGCTGAAGGCAGCAGAACAACAAGCAGCAAGCCCGCCTTCTTTCTGTCCTTTCATATTCCATCCAGGCTACAAGCCTATTGATTGGTGCCATCTATACACAGGGTGGG